TGGAGTAAATAGTGTTTTAGGATTTGCAAGGTCATTTTCATCAAACTATTTCTGTCGTTTTTGTATTTCTGATAAAAAAAAGTACCCAAGTATTTGCCAATGAAAATATTGACTTACTCCGTAATACACAAAATTATGATGAACAAGTAAAAATTAATAATTGTAAAATTACTGGTATATATGAAGAATCTATATTTAACAAAGTACATTCCTTCCATGTTGTTAATAACTTTGCAGTAGACATAATGCATGATATTTACGAGGGAATTTGTGTGTATAATATGAACCATATCATATTTAATTTGATTAATTTGGGGTTTTTTAGTTTGGAAACATTAAATAGTAGAAAACAAGGATTTAATTATGGAGACACCGAAATTGGAAACATGTCCCCTACTATAAAACAAATTAAAATAAATACTTTGAAATTCAAAATGTCTTCAAGGTAAATGCAGACATTTATTCATTTTTTTCCACTCCTAATAGGAGACTTAGTCCCTGAAAATAATATAATTTGGTTGTTTTTGATCAATTTTATTGAGATGATTGATTTATTGTTGTTGCCAAAATTCAATAATCTTATTATTTTAAATTTAGAAAATCATATCACGTATCATAATAATAAATATACAGAGTTATTTCAAGATTCATTAAAGCCAAAACATCATTTTCTTATCCACTATTGTAATATAATAATTCCTATTTCATTAGGTATAGAATATTCCATTAATTTTTCCGATTTTATTTTAAATTTAAGCAACAGTTCTTGTATCTCGACCAATTTAGGCTCTCCACTTAGTTCATGTGAATATTTTGAAAAAATTAAAATGTTGCTTTCACCTAATGGTTTGACTATACTTGATCAGGCTCTTTGTTATGACCAAATTATATATAACAACACAGTGTATAAGATCAATCATATACTTACAGCTTTATTTGACAATAATATATTAGTACCTATATAAACAAAAAAAAATTATATGTTTTGATGAGAAAGTGTTTTTTTTATGTCATACTCTAAATGTACTATCTTATAACAAACATTTTGTTAGTTATGTTGTCTCAAGTGTTGATACTGATCTATATGTTTTAAAAAGTAATACAGATTTCATGGGTCCTCCAATTCATTTATATCATCTTAATAATAAAGACACTGTAATACGGGTAAAACATTACTTTACATAAAATATTTATTAAAATACATAATTTGATTTATGTTATAATATAGATTATACATACAACAGTATTTTTATATAAACTTGTGTACATTTTTAACTAACTTATGTTCAATCTAATCCTAAATTATAAGGAAATCAAGTATAATTATCTCAGTTATTAATAATTTTAATGTATTGTATTTAATATGTTTAATTTTTTTTTTTTTTATAAACAAACTGCTGTGATCCATTTGAATATTTTGATGTGCATTTTTAATTCATGTATAATTAATACATAATGTTGGTACTTGACAATATTTTTTAACATTTGTGCTTGTTTATATTTTTTTTTGTTCATGTCTGATAAATTGTATTAGCTAATCATTTACTTTCAAACAATAAAAAAGATTTTACCTAGTAAAATGATTAAGTGTTATTTATATCAATTGTATAATTTTTTAATATAATTTTCAAAAAAGTAATTTAGATAAATGGATTTATTTCTAAGTAAAGTTGTATAAAAACTATGAAAAGAAATCATAGTTTTTATGAATAAGATAATTGGTTTTAAAACCAAGATTTTTTTTAAATAAGTAAAAATAGCATAAAATCAATACTTATAGTTCATTATTTGTTTATACATACAACAAATTAATTTAATACTAATAATCTTTAAAATTAAGAAATTATAACATAAAATCAATGCATGATGTTCCTTATTATTATATTGTTGAGAAATCAATTTCAAGAAATTTTTCTTTAAATTAAATACCATATGCCTTTTTATCTTTAAATTAATGCACATAATTTTCCATCAGTTTAATCCCAGAGTAATTAAATTTATGGATTATTGATTTAGAATTAATGAAATAAGTCATTGTTTCAATGAAATTTATTTACCTTTAATATAATATATATTATGCTATATTTCTATGATTCGATATCATAGGCTCCAAATCATACCCGTTTTTCCTTAGTTTTATATACTTTTTTCTTTGATATTAGTAAGTATTTTTCTGAGTGTAGTATAATCTAAAATTGTCATTGTAGTTAACAGATAAACTGTATTTTAACTTTAAAATCAAGAGCCAATCAAAAAACAAATAAATTCACAGAAGAATTTATAATTGGTTGCGCATTCATACTTAGTTATAATCTTTCTAACAACAATAACTTTGAAACATTGTAAAAACGTATTGCACTGTATAACAGTAAGAGTTATTTCTAAGAGTACTACATATCTAGTATACAACCTACAAATGACCTAGGTCAGTTGTAAGTAATGGTAGTAGTAGTAGTAGTAATAGTAGTAAGATGTAAGAAAATGTTTAAGTATTTTGTTCATTGGTTGTGTTGTGAATACCCATAATAAAAGTTAAAATACAATGAGTTGAACTTTTAACGGTTGTGTGTTCATACACAACAGTAAGTGTATGTACTCATATGCAATAAGTGCATTTATATGAAATTATTATATTATGATAAGTTGAATGTAAGGTTTATGTTGCACTAATAAAATCATACATGGTCTCCAATGTGATAAAATCAAGTACACCTATATCTATCACTACTATGTGGTATCAAATAACACACATAAGTAGTAAATAATATGTTACACTGTTACAAATTAAGTAAAGAAAGTGATGAACACAACGATAAAACTTATCCAGTGTAAAAAAAAAGGAGAGTTTAGTAAAGAGTCTAGTAATACCTACTTTGTGTAGTAGTAACATTCATTTATGTAACAACACGTGAAGTATCCTGTTTATGTCAATATGCCCATAGTAAAAGTTGATATATAAGTATAGTTGTAAGTTAATCTAGGTATCAAATTTTAGTCAATGTATGAGCTTGACCCAGCGTTTGTTATGCAACTGAAATCTGAAACAGTGGCAACACAATTGAATGTCATTCAAGTTATTCTACAATTTGCTTTCTATACATACAATTATAATATAATGAGCTGAATGGAATTCTTATGATAAAATAGACATTTAGTTATCAAGAATGTTGTACCGAGCCAGTACAGTATTGTAAAGTATGAGTAGGTATAACAGAGTAACCTAAGTTATGTACAGAAACAATTTATCTAAGATGGGGATCCCATACGTCCCGTATTTAACGGTATTGTCCCGTATTTGAATGAAGCGTCCCGGTGTCCCGGCAAAAGTTCAAAAATAACACTTTTGTCCCGTATTTTGGACAACCCGTCCCGTATGTACCTTATTTTAAAATTATATCAAAAATTAAATTGTTCTCATAATTTAGTATTTTAAAATTTAAATTATTAACAACATATGATAATATCCACGATTTAAGATAGACTGGTTGCGCGTCGAACGAAAAAAAGTGGAATGAGAAAGCGCTTACAAAAACTTACTGGCACATAACGCGATCTAGCGGTAATATTCATAATCTATAGTATATTATTGTTTTAATAATAATTCCTTTCTGAACGGAATAAGCTCCACGGTTTTTTTATTTCACAAAATCGCTTTTTAATTTTTAATTATCAAATAAACCTTGATTAGTTGATTATTATTTAGATTAAACAGTCCTAATGACTAGTTGAATGTCGAATGACATTAATTTAAACAGTATTAAATGATTGAGTTATAGATTTAATATTTAACACAGTGTATATATTATATTTAAATTTAAATTTTTAAAATGTCTAATCATAACTATTGTTGTATTCCTTTTTTTTTATTAGAATATCTATACCTACAAGTAATGTACAATAAGCTTATGTGCTGAGAGAAGACAGGACGTGGACAATTGAATAAGAAACCGCCCACTGGCAGTACAGTGGTGCATTGGAGAGTCGTCGAAGAGCTAGGTTTTGGAATACTTGTATTTTATTGGTATTGGATTTTTTTGCTGAACCCCAGAGCTGTATGCCATAAGTCCAAATAGGTTTCAGGAGGGTTTTGTAAATTAGAAGTTTAACTTTTAGATTGGTATTATTATTTCTTGATATTAGAGGATTAATTAATTAAATATATTTTTAAGATTTCAGTATTTCACAAGTACTATTATTATTATAAATTCTTAATCACTTACTTATCCAACTAATTTAAATTGCATATGTCATATTTATTCTTTTTGTGTTAGTTGTAATTTACTATTTAAGTATCTAATTAAATTAATATAATATATAACGAATTTATTTGGTTGATTTATTTTAAAAAAGATTTCCTATAAAAATGTGTTGTAAATATGTACCTAGTTAGTATGTAATAAAATTAAACAACGTTAATATTGTAGTTCATAGAATAGCAAATGGTTGACAATGTGCAAAGACCTATAGTGGAAGAGACACTCAGTGAATAATATTGAGGTTTGAGATACCTAGAGAGATTAAAAATAAGTTAACAATAGTCATAATTAAAATCATTGCAAAATAAAATTACTGTTTTAGCACGATTTAGTAAAACTTATAGGTGTCAACGCTAGATGGCACTTACTGTCAGTCAGTTTATGTTAGTACATTGCATAGTCACTTGGTCAGTAAGCTTAACATACGTCGATGCGCAACCTGTCTATCTTAAACCGTGATAATATCTAAATCAGATGATAATTATCTGATTATAATGATAACAAATTTTTTTGTTGGTTTTGTGGTTACACTGATTACTGATATTATATCGGCTATCAAATCGGCTGTCGGCACATGGTATAATATTATTATGCCGTTATGGACGATAATTGAATATTATATTATCATTTAATTATCAAGTTCTACGATTCTTTAAATAATTTTCATATTCTACTATTACTATTTACTATTTCAGTCTATTAGAATTTATATTTTATTATATTCTTAGTGTTTTAGTAATAAAAATGCCTAAACGTAAATGCATATTCACTGACGCCCTAAAGGAAGAATATACATTTTTAAAATTGTGTGAACGAGTTGGAAATGATGGAAAAATCGAATGTATTAGTTGCGGTGCAATTTTCAGTATTGATCATGGTGGTAAATCTGACATAAAACAACATATTGGCACCAAACGTCATAAATTAGCTGAAGAATCAAGCAAAATTAAGAAATTTAATGCATTCTTTGGAAATAAAAGGTTTGTCGCTGCTGATAAATTAGTTTATAAAAATGAAGGTACTTGGGCTTATCATGTTTGCAAACATAATCAAAGTTTCTCATCAATGGATTGTACGTCGGGTTTACTTCGTAAAATGTATGACAGTAAATTTACTTGTGGTGCTACTAAAACGCAAGCAATAATTGTAAATGTATTGTTTCCTTATGCAATTAACTTAATAAAAAATCAATTAGATGCTGCTAGTTTTGTAACAGTTATGATTGATTCGTCTAACCACAAAGACCTAAAAATTATTCCAGTTTTAGTACGATATTTTTTGCCGGAAACAGGTATAAAAACTGTTATAATAGAATTTGCTGATCTACCCGGGGAAACAGCTGTACAATTAACAAACTATGTTTGTGAATTGTTAAAGACATGGAAAATTGAAAAAAAAATAATTGCATTATCAGCAGATAATACCAATACAAATTTTGGAGGTGTACTTAGACGAGGAAAAAATAATCTTTTCACTCATTTAAATGGTAATGTTGAAAATTATATTATTGGAATCGGATGTTCAGCGCACATATTAAAAAACGCCATTCAAATATAATATCTATAAAAACAAATAATAGTAATATGTATTCAATAAAAGTTAAATACTATCAACAGTGTCATCGTTGTTATAAAAACGATCTTGCTCTTGAGTTATTCGCACAGATGAATATATGGAGCTGACTGATTAGGTCCAGTGGATAAAAATGCAGATGGTAGAAGGGGGAAGGACGAGAACGAAGGTGTATGTAATGGAGGTTGATATGGTTGTTGATTAATATATCTTGATGATGAAGGTTGTGGTGTTGAAATTCGATAATTTTCTTGTTGACAGATAGACTGTTGGGGTTGAGCAAGAGTGTTTTGAGAAAAATATTGATGTTGCATTTGATATGGTGTGTTTGTAATATTAGTGGAATTAGAATAATTAGGATGAATGTGAGTAGCCTGAGGTACTGCTGTGATACTTCTTATAAAGTTTCTGTACAACTGATGGAATTGAAATTTAAATTCCATTTTTTGATCTTCTGTAAACCGTTTAATACCTGGCAAAAATGAAAGCAGAAATTGTTTATCTGAATCATCTTCTACTGTAGTTGGAGGATTTTTTAAGGCATATAGCAAAGAATTTTGGAAAGGAGTCACATTTTCTTTTTTTTTTCTTAGGCACAGATGTAGAAGGTTGACTGATAGATATATCATTATCAACCTGATCTTCAACTTGCTCACAATTTTCATCATCTTGTTGAACACTTTGAACATTACCAGATGTCCTATAAAATAATACAGTATATAAATACAGCAATACATAATAATAAAATATTACAATGTTATGATGATATTAAAAAACTAAATTCATTTAAGAGTAAAATCTATATAAATATCTATATCATTGTTAATAATATGGTTTAATAAAAATAATTCTAATAAATTATACTTATCTAAAAAAGTAGTCATAATTCTTCTTTATTTATATCTAATCTCACGTCTAAGTTTTTTTCCACCAATCACCATCAACATTAATCTGATTATACTGATCTAACTCACTTTTTTACTGCACTCACAACTACTTATTCACTTCTAAGTTCTAACAATAAACATTTTTCTACATTTTCAGACCAAGGCTATAACTTATAATATAAAGGTGCTTTTTTACCACCTCTCCAAATATTATATTAGTATCTATTCATTCAATTTGAATTTTAGATTTAATTTTAACAAATTATGATATTCATAATACTACATTGGTCAAGTTTAACAGTTTTCTTACAAAAAAAAAAGAAATATGTAAAAAAAAGAAATAAAAATAAAAAAAATAATATTTATAATATTTATTAATTAATTTGATTATTACTTGCAACACATTTATATTGTGTATATATTCACATTAATTTTGAAATAAATTTTACTTAATTTTATATTTAAATTAAAAAATTAAAATTGTAGTTGTAGCTATAATTGAGCTTGCCCTCCTGAAATAACTATTTATTTATTTTTTTTTTTTTAAATTATTTATGAAAATTTACAATTTATACAAAAGTGGTACAATAAGTAAATATGAATAATAATTAAAAGTGGCAATGAGGGAAGTACAATGAGTAGAAGTTTCACATTAGAAATTCCTACGTGAAATAAGTATTTAAAAAATGAATTACCAAGTGAAAAATTAAATTGAATGTACTGTAGTAGGCATTTCTCAATATTGATATACTATTTTTTAGAAATAAACTTATATCACTCTATTTTTTCCCAAGGTTAAATTTATTTTACTAATATTCTAGGCAATATGATATTAACTCAAACACTCAATATATCAGACATTCATCTTCATGTATAATAACTGATCACACTATTATTTAAATTTTAAATATAATATTCACTACAAACACACAGCTTAGCACTACAGCTACAGGACTTGTTTGAAAATTCATTCAACTTTTTTACCAAACTCTTATTCTATGTGCAAAAAATCAGACAACTCTCAGTCTATTACATTAATCCTTAAATATGCAAAGTTTACTACAAATTTTGATTATTCATTGCCCATTGCCTTCCAGAGGCATGATCCAATGTGTCCAACCCAGTTGGAGAAGTATTGTAAGAAACTGCAAAAAATTACATTTAAAAAAGTATTATTTGATTGTACATTTGTGATTAACAAAAAGAAAAGTATAATATTGTACTTTTTGTAGAATTCACTTACTTTCTTTTCTTTATCACTGGTGCTAAAAATGACAGAATGTCAGCATAGGTATACTTTTGGACTGACTTGGCTTCACTTCCAGATTTAGTTTTACGGGTTTCATTTAAAAACCGTGTGTAGTTGTCTCTTATATTAATCCATTTTTTCTTTAAATCTTCACCTACTCATTAATATTTATAGTCAATAAATAATATTAAGTACCTACTAAAACGAGTACAAAATAAAACTTGAATAAAAATGTATGATGGATAATATCATTAAGTATAAATTATTAAATTATAACAATATAGGTAAGTAATATATGTTCCTACTCAATCTTAATAGTTAATTGGTAATCATTTAGGTATATAGAACAGAACACAAAAACTATACAGAAAAGAAAAACTGAGAGTGGGCATAAAATGTATAGAGTGACTTACTTTTAATTCTTTGTTCATCATAGTTGAGCTCCTTCCAGTCATCGTACATGGTCTCTCCAATCCCATTCCATGCTGCAGCCTTGACATTTTTATTGGAATACTCTTTAGCATCCGTTTTCTAAATGCATTCATGTTTTTCGACTTCATTAATGAATATTTCGGTGTCAAACATGCTCATTTTGGGAAACAGATAGGTTAAATAAATTTGAATAATTATATAAACGAACAAATTAATCAATAGAAACTAGAAAGTTACGCTACGTTGTTTCTCCTCTAAGCAGCACCTTACTTGCAGGACCTAACCTTTTTTTAAAAAAAATTAATAGTTGCTACTCAGTATTACAGTATTTTAAAAGAGATAAAAATAGAAAATCATAGAAAATTAATTTTATCATAATATCAACACATTATCACTATGTACTAATAATTTTTATCAAATTATGTATTATCTATGGATAAAATATGTCCACTACCGGACGTCATTGCCGTTGTAGTGTGACACAGCTGGTATGAAACTATGTGTTCACATTTACCGACGGCGTGACGGCATCTCCGTGAAACCGTGACTCACAACGGTTTCCAGGATCGCCGGACGGTCATCGACGGTGTAACCGTATAGTGTGACACTACAAGTTAATAAGTATGCATTCTTGGCGAACGGTAAGACCGTACGGTTCTCACCGTGCGGCGTAACCGTCGTAGTGTGACACCACCCTTACTATATTTCTCATATACTTCAGTGCAATGTATATGTTCAATACATACAAATTACAAATACATACATGTTATGATAAAATGTATAAACATATTTACTATAAAACGTATACACTCACATTATGCGCAGTCTATCACAAATATTTTTTTATGATACTTATGAGCGCTATGACAAAATTTAAATTTGGTATATCGTATACTCGAAAATTATAATATATACTATTAAGAGGACGTTGTACCCACATGTGTTGTCACAATCTTATTAACACATAATACATCAAAATGTACGTCCAGCAGTTCCAATTTTTATGTTGTTTGCTTAAATATTAAGAGTGAATTGAATCATTATCAAACTTAAATGCAAGAACATTCTCTCTGCAGTAGTTTTACGATATTTTAATTCTTAAATGGCATATGTAAAATATTAATATTTAAAAATACTCATAACTCACTTAAAAGTTAAAATATTGTAAAATATCACTGAGAGAACACAGCCGATTCTAACATTGAAGTTTGATAAAAGGTCCTGTAATATTGAAGGTAACTACACACAATTGGAATTGCTGGATGTACATTTTCATATAATATGTGTTAAGACGGAGACAACACATGCGGGTACAATGTCCACTTAAGTATACATGATGATATTACTATATTATAATTTGAACAGTACTGAGTAATGACTAATGACCGATTTTGAATTTTGAATTTAAATATTAATCATTGATAAAATTATGATAAATACTCTATTATTTAAAGATAATTTAGAATACATTTTTCCTTCCACAATAGTTAATTTATAGAATGTTTGCCAATATTATGTAATTTTACCATTTTATTCTTAATATTGTTGTCCAATAATTTCATCTCGAAACTTTCCAGTTCTTCTTCAGATTGCAGTGGTAATTTATAAAGAATGTCAAATAACTCATCTGTAACTGCCATCATTTTATCGACCTCTGGATTCTTTGTTGAAGAAATTGTGTTTTCTAATTTCTCGAGTCTATCACCGAAAGTTTTAACCCCATACCAGATGTTGAGTGTGGTTCTATTAATTTTGTTTATGGTATCTAGGCAATAATAAGGAAGCTACTATTTTAAAATGTGAAAACATTTCTTTTTAGGTATAATCAGTAAATATTAAATGTTAGACAATTCACAACTTACCAGACATCTCAGTAACAATATCTTTAGTAACTGCGGAAGTATTTGATGAAGTAGTTACCTTGAATGGGGATGCAGATGTTACAAGTATCTCATGATTTGTATCATACAATAAATCATTGTTTTTTTCTTAAAAAATAATAAGATTTATAATATATTATTATTATTGTTAAATTGATAAACTATGTAAATATTTGTTTATATAAATGGCATACCGACTGTTGTAGATGAATTTAATTTTGGACTTAGAGATTTGCATTTATTGCCAAATTCTAATTTTCTTTTATATGTTCCTGGATATGAATGAGTTAAATTATTAGTATCACTTTCAATAGTATTAGCTGAACATTTATTCCCAACAGGTGTAGTCTCTGCAAAATAATATATGTTATTCATTAAGAGACGACACACAGATATTTGTTGTCTCCATCCTACAAGTGCGTAACATGGAAAATTTACACTCAGCAGATCACGTTTAGCTCTGTTAGTTTAATATTTAGAATGAATCAACCTACTATGAGACTTGATGGTAAGAATATTATCTCTGTTCTTATGTTGGTTTTGACGATTATTCAGTTTTTAAGTGAGTTATGAACATTTTTAATTTACGCTATATTATAAACTCATAACTTGCTAAATAATTGAAATATAGTAAAAAACCAACATACGAACACAGATAATGTTCTTACTATCATGTTTCATAATAGGTCAGATTCACTCTAATTTTTAAACTAACCGAGTTAAACGTGATCTGCTGAGCGTAAATTTGCTACGCACTTGTAAGACGGAGACAACAAATAACAATGTGGCATCCTTTTAAGTACAAAAAAGTAAAATATTAATATTTTTGTACATTTCAATAACATAGTAACTGGAGGAATTTATATAACAAGGGATACTCATGCACGGCCCATTTTATTGTATCAATAAAATGTATTGTCTAAGCCCGTTGTTGTTGTAATCAGTTTGTTGAATAGTTATAATTATAATAAGAAATGCCTTCTATTAGGTATTCAGTATTGTTTAACATAGATGCCTATTATAATATACTTAATATTGTCAAATATTATATTTGTATATAGAATGAGTAACGCATAGTTATTGTCTCTTAAAATAATAGGTACCTACTAATGTTTTTATTAAAGTTATGAGATGGAATTTACTAAAATAGTGATTATTAAAACAAGCATAATATTACTCATTATCTTACCAATAACTTTCATTTTAGATAGTGAATACGGAGGATCATTATCTTCATCATACCCATGATCATCAGATGAATCTAAAATAAAATGATATTATTGAGTCTTGCAGTTAAATATATTTTAATAATTCTATGATAATATGATATATAAATATGCAAAATACAAGTTAAAAACTATACTAACTAGTATCTGATCCGACATCCCACAAAGCATTGGATTTTTCTTTATTTTCTATTTCTATACACTTTTTCTTAATTTTTTGATGTCTTGTAAGCATTTCTTCATTGCCGTCATTGGCAGATGACAAATTAGAATTATCTTGAGCTTTTATTGTTTTCCTCTTAGCTTCAAGTATATTACCTATAAAGTAGTGTATATATTTTATTATTAAAATAGTATTTTCATGTTTATATAATTAACATAAAAAAATTAATATTTAGAATTCTTACCATAGTCCTTGCCTATTTTTCTTGCATCTAGATATTCAAAATCAAATTTATTAGGCAATAACCTACGTTTAATGAACATCGTAGGGTTCTTTCTCGGCCAGGCACATTTATCTTTTTTCATCCAAAAAGATGGTACTGTTTCAACAGTGTTGTCATTTTTGAAGTTAACAACCGACCACATTTTGAAGCTATTAAAAACAAACATGTTAATATTGCAGATATATATATTTATACATTATACAAGCTTTCCCACCCGACGTTGTCCAGACCAAAAATTTGTGTTTTTAATAAATGTTTATAAAAAAAAATTTATGCCATATTTCTTCTATTATTTATAATAACAATAGGTATAATTTCTTACCAATGGCAACCTATTTATATACAAAAAAATTTTCCATTCCCATTTTAAATATAAAAATCTTTGGATCAGTACGTATATCTATCTCCAGGTTGAACCTAACAATTGGTAATCCAAACCATTCAGAGAACCACTCAAACACAAAAAAATTTCATGAAAATCGTTTCAGCCGTTTAGGAGGAATTCATTAAGTTGTATATTTATAAATTTACTGCATGTAAAAATACTGTCCAATCAAGTTAAAACTATTTATTAATATTTATGTACATTCATTATTTATTTATATAAATTAATATGATTAACAGATTAACATTATAGAAGCATATAAACAACAAATTAAAAACATAGTTAGTTAAAAGTAGGTACCTATATCAATTGTAATTACAATTTAAATAATATGAAATATAATAAGTTTATGTACAAGTATTTTTTCTATGAATACTATTTACCTACTTCAATAAATACATAATGTATAATACAATATATGTACCTAAACAGTTAAAATTAATAAAATAATAGCTACCTCTAGGTAAAATGTTTTTGCAAAATTAATGATTAAAAATCTACAAATAAAAATAAAATAATTATGAAATCAATGAATGAATTATTGGTAAAGCAATTAAGTAGTTATTCGAAGGAATAAGAAATACTTTTTTTTTAATGTAATTTATGTTTAGCACAATTAAATCTTCAGACAATTCATTGACAACATAGATCTAACAATGACGACTTAATTGGTTTATTAAATAGTAATTTGTAATGTTTGAATTGTTTACATATTAGTAAAATATCTTTATGTTCAGTTTGAATGATATTAAAAACTTTGACTACTTTTTTATTTGATGTAAGTAGATAGGAATCAGCTTCGATGTGTGATTTAACAATGGCATTTTTTGATTTAAGAACCTTAAATTGAGAATATCTTGTAGTACTTTCAAGTTTTGGTCCATTGCAATGGGGGCCAGAAAGATGAAATTTATCTTGATTGATGTCTATGTGTTTTGGAATACTTGTTTTCTCATTATATCTATTTACTATTTGCTCTAATGGCTTATGAGGTTTTCTTATCATATTTTTTAAAACACCCATATAATTTTCAAAGGGAAAAGTAGAACACTGATCTAATGGACCAAATTTGGCATAATCATCACATAAATGCAAAAGTCCATGTATATTATGTGATATTAAGTGACGACCATATATACTTTCAAAATGTTCAACAAAACTATCCAATAATTGACGAGCCAAATCTAAATATTGAATATATTCAGGACTTAACAATATAATCATTGATAGACTCAGATGAAAAAAATGATTCCAGTGAACTTTAGATAAAACTGATTTAGAAACAATAGTACCAAAATATAACAAAAAAGTGCGAAACTCCGTTCCTTTCCATCGATTTACTTGATCTAATCCTCTAGGTTTTCTAGCAATTTCACTTGGACAATTAATTTTAATTTTATTGAGTAGTACAGATATTTTGTTGATTTTCCAAGATGGATATCGAACTCTGACTGGGCCTTTAATCCAAAAGTGTATCAGTTTTCGAACTGTCCCCAAACATACTAAATGTAAGTAATCCAAAGAAAAATCATTTACGACATTAAAATTGGGCACTGAAGCTACTATTGATAAGTCCCCAACATGATGGTCTTCACTTGATTTTGTTAAATAATTGCTGTGTGTGCGTTTATATGGGCGACTTTCAGGTTTCAAATATGGAAAGCATACACGATTAAGTAAATACTCACCCTCTTGTTCACATCTTGAACAAGAATGAAAGCCAGAGTGACCTTTAATTTTTAAAATATAAGACTTTGCCGGTGCGTCGCAGCAAAACACACGTACACGTACACCATATACTTTTTTGTCAATTTCAATCCCATTTTGAACTAACAACTGAAGTTCATCAATAAAATAAGACAAAAAAAGATTACTATCAGATGGCTTTTCTTTGCCATAGTAGATTCCTATTGGGAATACAGAACCGTTCGAATGAATGTACGCTAATATGGGCCAAAATTGGTCAGAACTACTTTTGAATAAAGGTAGTCCATCTATACCAATAACAAGTTCAACGTTATAACTATCTAAAGATCTATCTATATTTAGTTTGATCCCATTTTCTACACCAAAATGATAATATAGACCTGGATTAATTGAATAATAATTTGATGTATTTTTTGTTATGTTTTGCATCAAAGTCCTAGAGTCTTTTGGTAATGATTTAAAACATTTATGTTGTTTTAACATAGATAGTAACCCATTTACAGCATGTTGAGGTATATTATAATCTACAGCCCATTTTCTTAAGTTTAATCTAGTATTAAATATTTCATCACATTGTGAAGTTTCATTAAATGAGAGAAAACTTTCTTCTATTGTTGGTGAATACATTACATGTGAATTTTCTGGATCTATAAATGGATTATTTAGAATTTGGACTGAATCTGATAGACAATTGTTAGGAAACATTACATTTTGTATAGATTTTTCAGCTTGTGTATTATCAGTTGATGTCATTGCTACATTATTATCAAACTCAGTGACTGGATTTTCAACCAATATATTAATATTTGATGTCGGAAAAATTGTATTATTTTTCGGTTGTGGTAATGATCTCTTACTATATTCTACCTCTTCTGCTATGCGTCTTCTTTTAGAGCGGCTACTCATTGATATTTTTTTTCGGTACGGTATCATTATATTTATTAATTTTTGAAATAAACTTAATCCTAATTTGAAAAAAAATATTTCTGTTAGGTTGAATTACAGAAATACCTAGGTAATGTAAGTTGTTAAAACATTTTAAATATGTATAACAGTATTAACTTTAGTTCATAAATAATGAACATATATTATTATTACCTACTATTAAATAAAATATTTAAATTTGAATTTAAAAATGCATAGATTGTATGTATAATATATTATAACTATTTCACTATATTGTGTTAGGTAGGTAGGTACATATTTAGTATTTATTTGTTGCACAATAATACTTACAATTTTAGTACCTAGGTGCCTACCTAACCTAGCATAATATAGTATGTTTATTTGAAGGTATTAAATGGTTTTATATCCACAGACATTTGTATTTTTACTGGTACCTAATAGAATAACTCAAACTAGGTATATTCTGAATGAAGCAAATATCTATGGATTTAAAACCGTTTTAACCCCATCGAATGAACGTACTAATATGCACATTAAAAACTTATTAGTCAAGGTAGATATTATATTATACCTACTTAATTAATATAACAATTAAGTATTATTCATATCAATATTATTATTATTATTATGATGATTGTTAACTATGTTAGTAGACATAGAGGTTATAGGTACATAAGTTGTATTGTTCTCAGACTGGGATCCTCTCTCATTAAGATCATGTGGATTAATTGTGTTTAACATTGTCATGTATAATAAATAATTTATTATGTTCAATATTAATAAACTGTAATTGTTCATGATTTTCATCTAAACACATCCACCACATTAATAAAGATAAAACAATCAACATTTTAAAAATTAATAGTACAGTAGAAACTCAATTAACCGTCACTTTCTGTTGTCCGTCATCGTTCAAAAAAACAGCATAATATGGAACGCCGGTCTTACGACTCCGTAAAATTCGGAACTTTGCAGCTCAAATATATAATATGGAGAGTGACGGTTAATCGAGTTTCTACTGTAGGTACCTACAACCTAGTTACATTTAATTGTATTTGGTAATATGAAATATACATGTAATTACTTACCAAAGGAAGATATTATTCAATGTTGAAGACTGAAGTTGAACTGTTGAAGATCGCACAAAAGAATTGACGACACTCGCATTAACAGCAAAGAGTAAAGACAGACGACAGCGAAAAGAGGTTATAAAAATATAAAATATAATAAAACACACGACTACACGTGTCCACAAGTCACAAATCACGGTTTTTGTTACCTACTCTGATAAAAGATTGTCCATAATTCATAATAGTATATACTATTCGTTTTATGGTTTTCTGTAAACACGGAGGTGATACTACCGCCGTCGGTCAACCACGGTTACCGATGACTATCAGCCAATCACAGAACGCAATCGCCAATCAGTCTTGCGCGAGTGAGCGTACATACTACATTGCCGAATGGAATAACAGCTATTGCCTATTTGCGCGTATTTTCCGGTTTTCCCCCGGGCGGCTTTGGGCGGCCGTGATATGGTATAGGGGAAATATGGGAATTGGGAAACGGCGTTCCCCACCCGCTATTTGTCGGACCTCGTCGGGCCTGGTATCCCTGGATTCGTCTCATCGAGCGGCGTGTGACGAGCTATCGCGCGCGGACGTACGCCTTACCGTTCGCCCGCCAGACATCCAGAGTTGAGGGGGCCGGAAAAGCGAGTTTTCTCGGTGCCCGAGGTCCCTAGCTCGCTGCGCGTTGCACGGAACGTTGTGGGAGGGCAAGGTCAATTTTAATCGGGCACAGTCGAAAAGAACGCTTTTTTAATAAAAAATTACATAGGTATTATATCTGGTGACGATAAGATACACCAAACAGCACGCAAACGGTTTACCTACCTTCTTAGCACCCAAATTACGGGGTAAATATAAGGGTATTAAGCGTTTCAACCACTGAACCATACACACTTGTCGTACGTTGATAGACCAGTATTCAAAATTTAAAAGAATCGGCAAAAAACTCAATTTCAAAAAATTACGTAAAGCCAAAAAAAACGTGATATTTAGGCCGAAAAACACGAAAAAAATTAATTAAATGCCTGATATTTACAGTATTAGTTATGTCCAACTATTATTCTTAGGCACCTATCGATTTACATTAATGAATAGCGAACTAGCTACACGCCTACTAAAATAGGTTCAAAAAAAAAGTTCAAAACATTTATTACTTGATACGTTACACAGACGTATACCATAAGGAGACGCTTGAGTAATACGAATAATAGCATAATTTGTTTTCTAACTTTTTGCTTCTACGATTGCGGGCGAAATAAAGGTTGTACGTACTCGAACCATAGAGCCTTTTCGAATCCCCGTACGCCAAACAGCCAGATTATCGAGTTCGGTAGCGATCGAGGGGAAAAAAAAATCCAAAAAACACGTGAATACGTAATTTTCCAAGTACGAAAAACACTCTAAAAATCATAACTCCCGAACCAAACGTCGGATCAACTCGATCTCGGTTCCAATCGTTCCGGCGTAAAGTGCTCTATAAAGTCCGACTACAAAACGGCTCGTAGCGTCCAAAATCTAAGTGTCAGTAACGAAAAACACGAAAACCGCAGCTACCTACCCTAAACGAACCCCCCAAAGACGGGTAAAAAAGGCTCGTACACAAGACGCCGAACTTAATCACCAACCTCCACACTATAGGAATCTCTAAACTTCAGGAACGTACGACGACTTCCCGAGTTTTTCCGAAATAACTTTGAGGGGGGGGGGTCGAAAGCCCCCCGACTATAGGTGGACTATTTAGGGGGGCTCGAAACAAATTTTTTGGTGAAGAAACGGTGCACCCTAGTTAGAACCCGACCGAAATATACTTAAATCAAAAAAAAAGGGGGGGGTTATTTTCGGTATGATAAGCGCTTGGGCGGGCACAACCCATAGCTGCTTACGAAATATTTCTATGACGCTCCGCGCCTGCTCACTGGCGATGACAAAATGTCGAAATATCAAACGCCGCAACACTCTGTATAAGTGCACAACAGACGCTTTGCTCACACCGTATAGCCAAACCGCGGTACACATTTTCCCTACTTTATTATATTAAATAATAGAATATACACAAATACATATATAACGCTCTGTACGCTCCTACAAATTGACCATCACACCTATACCTATATATTTTGTATTGAAATAATGATTTATCAATATTCCCAACTTTTCTCTGTAGGTACTATTACAACCTACATACAGACACACAGTGAAGTAGCCAGAGCCCAGAGGGGGGTTTGGGTTTTAAAAAAATAGTTATTGTAGCTAAATTACCTAAATATTATATTACGGTCAATATATATATATATATATGTTTATAATGCCCTGAGCCCCTGACTAATTACAATGCCCTATTTGAATGTACAATGTGGACAATTATTATATACTTTAGTACTTTACATAAACACCAAAACACAGTGGGCAGTTCACAATTAAAAAGATATAAAACAGTTTTTGTTTTCTCAATAGTTTACAATTCAATACACGCATGTACCTACCTATGTTATATATAATTCAGGTACAATTAAAAATCATATTTTATATTATAATTATTTTTGTTTTATAATTACCTAAAAATTATATGTTCAGAATAATATTTTATTATTTCAATTATTATACCATATAATTAATAAATTCAGAATATGTTTTAAACATTTTATTTTTTGTAGCAAAATAATCATATTTTAAGAATTGTAGTTTATTATTTCAATTATGATATCATAATATTAATAATTTCAAAATATAATTTAGGTATTTCGGTTTTGATAATATATTAAACACATTTTCAGACTAAAATATTATTATTTCTGTTATAATATCATAATATTATAATATCCAAAATATATTTTAGAAAATTCGTTTTTAATAACATAATGACAATTAATTCAGATTATCAATTTATCATTTCGTTTATGATGTCATATTATTCAATTTTTTATAATATTATGTTACAAAATAATTATTTGAAATTGTATTGATATTTATTTGATAATATTATTTTTATAATGAAGATATGATAATAATTAGATATTATCATTACGAAAATGCTATCTGGGCACTGGAGGACTAAGTGTATAAGAGAATTTTTTAAAAAATTGTCTACCTAACTAAATAAATAATTTTCTAATTAAATGTATAGTTTATATACACCAAATGTTTATTTTATCATTTTCTATAATAGTAGGGTTTCAAGTATATGTATTTAAAGACTGTACTTGATGTAATTTATAGAAACAAGTTGGCAGAAAACAAATAATTGATAAAGAAGTACTTCAAGATGTCTTATACAAATATGGTAATACACTTTTCACTGGTAACAAATTAAATTTTAAAAGTCCATCCTGGAATGATATTGAAAAAGATATGGGATATATAATGAAACCCAAAAGTATTTATTTAACGGTTAGTCAGGACCGCTTCAACTTGCTGACTAACCTAAGAACCAGATTGGGTATTATAGTACCTCCAGATAGTCAAAGTAAAATATCGATGTCTAGTTGTACTGAAGAGTCGGATGAAGATATGGATTTTGTTTTCGATGATGATAAAAGTCTTACAACTTTTCATATTGATATACCATATCATGTGTATCAAAAAATGAAACCAATCCAAGTTGAATATGGAAACGGAAGAAATACAAGAAAATATTCAGTTTTAAAACCAGGCGTTTGGTCGAATATAATATTTGATGAATTTGTAAAAATACATAAGTTGCCTTGTTGTTACATTTTTAAAAGGTGTAAAGTATATATCAGTGAATCTGCTTAAAATTTTTTAGTTTTTAACGCTTCATGTAAAGATGAAACATGTTATGCTAAACTTAAAGGTATAGCTGTTAAGCGCCCTCTTGAAGATCAACCTTTAAAACTCATTATAAAAACTAAGGATACTAGAGGAGTAATGCATAATATACATTTAAAAAGAAACTTAAATGGAGAAAAAAGATATAGTGTAGGAGAAAATCTCCAGCACTTGCGTGCAAATACTTGGAGAAAAGATCAAATAAGAAAAAAATGTGACTTTGGAGATATAATTCCACTAAACATTTATCAGACAAATGTATTAAGAAAGGCTAAACAAGAATTCCGAGAACAAAAATTAGGAATTGTAATTAAAAATCCAATTTTGTCATTAGTGGAGATGAAGCATACAATTCCTTATGCCGGATCAATTCATACTGTTGCCGCCGCAACATAAAAGCATTACGCAACATAGTACCTACCCAATTAAAGAAAAATAAGAATATAGGACATCGGTCACCGGGGAACAGCTGGACACACACACACACACACACACACACACACACACACACACACACACACACACACTCACATATCACTATTTGTATTGTTTTATTATTATTATCGTTGAATGTGTCTTGTGAATTATATAATATGTAGATTAAACGTTATCGCACGCCGCCGCTCCGTCTACGCGGATTTTTACTTATCATGGCCGCCGTGACACTGTCTTCCTTTGTCCGTCTCGTATAAAACGTCGCTAGCACGGTGTGTGCAAACAAAAAATATATTTATTATTTTCAATAATTGTTAAATAAGTTAGTGCAAATATTGGTTTTTTATTATAATTATTGGCGCCAGAAGGGCCTACTTCAATTGTAACAAATTAAATTATTATATTACATTTTCTGTGCGACACTATAGTATTGTTATTTATTACTGCCGTAATAAGCGCAATCGTCAGTTTTATAATATTATACTCATTAGCAGTTACCTATTTTTTTGTAACACTTTAAATAATTGTACTCTGTTATCGTATGTGTTTTTTTTTGTGTTTTAATACCTATAGCTCAGGAGCAACTGGCCAGTCTGCGCTCCACAAACTACTGTGAGTTATTTTATTATATTTATTATATTTTTGTTACAATTATCATTATATTCTGTCGTGCCAGAAAGGCGCATAGTACTATTATATTATTATTCTGCTAGGTCATAAGGACCGCATATTATTATTATTTTTATATTTAATAACTGCAATTTTACAAAACATTATATTTATATTTTGTTTGGCCATAAGGGCCGCACATTATTTTGCACGCATTATTTTATATATTATTACTATTATGTTGAGCCAGAAGGGCTAATCTTTTTATATTTTCACATAGCTCTTATAGCTTCTGTGAGTTAAACCTTTATTTTTATTATCTATTATATTGCTGTGAATTTTATAATATATATCATTTAGTATCATTTATGCTTATACTGATTTACAGCTTTAATAGCTGCCATCATATTAAATTGTTATTTGTTTGGCCATAAGGGCTGGGCATTTATACCTTTTTTCTGTCGGGCCAGAAGGGCCACAATATATTATATACTATTATAGCCATAAGGGCTTTGATTTATTATTTATATTATATTTTTTATACCTACTGTGTTGCTGTGATTTTTATATATTTGTATTATTATTATTATTGTGTATTATACAGCAACTCAGCTATCAGGAACCGTGTTACCATTTTTTATTACCTATTTGTTTAATTGTATACACACCTACACACATACACATATTTATACACAATTACACATAATTACACAACACGCACTACATAGCCGACAGTAATTGCTAGGCGATCCCGACCACTACTGTTCGAGCTATTACACCATTACACATCCAGCTTGTTCTCCATAATTCCAGGAATTAGGTGTTAGTGGTGTAAGGTGAGTTATTGGTGTCCGGGCGCGCGTATTAATATTTTATGCTCCCGGCCCGCACACATACCATAAGTATTGATCCAGTAATCGTTCATTATCGGTCTCCATATCAGATGGTTGTTTATAAAGAATCAAAAGCAAATTCATTGCGTAATTGTAGGCTGTGTATTGACGCAACAGGAAGTGTTGTAAGGAATGTGTATAGAACCTCACAGGAATTACAATCATCACATATTTTTTTATATGTCGCAGTTCTGAACGACGGATGTATTCAGGTACCAGTATGTCAAATGCTCTCAGAGGTACAAGACTTAGCAACCATAACTTATTGGTTAAGTCAATGGATAAGAGCTGGTGCTACTTCACCATATGAAGTTGTGGTTGATTATTCTAATGCACTTATAGGAGCTGTTATACGTGCTTTCTGTTATGGTTTGTCTAAGATTCAATACTGTGAAATAAGTTTGAAGATTCTTCAAGATGAAGAAGATGGTACTGTACCAACTCCCGGACTAGATATTTATATTGCCCATTTAATTAAGATGATCTGTAGGTGGAAGTGTTTTAAGGTAAGAAATCACGGTAAAATTAAAGAATTTTACGTTAGAGCTATAGTTCTCCTAATAAAATCAAAAACACTTGATCAATTCAAAACAATTTTAACTGAGATTTTAGTCGTTGCATCTTCAGAATATGATGGTAATATAGAAGGTACAAAATATTACACTTCGTCAGAAAAATTCAGGGAAAATATTTTGAAACAAATCGAAAACGATGGTTTCAAAGAAAATATAATTTCAGATGACGAAGAATTGTTAGAAGAAAATGAAGACATTGAATATAATATTCAAAGTTCAACCAATATTTCAAATAATATGGATACATTCATTAAAAGTATTAAAGAACGTGTAGTAGTTCTTTCAAATATACAAGGTGATCGTTTGAATGGATACTTTTTACCTGATTTATGTGCTTCTCTTCTTCGTATTACGAAAGATTTTCCACTTTGGACAAACATAATGGCTAGATACTACAAATCAGAATATGAAACGGCAACTTCAGCACCAGTCGAAGGATATTTTTCTCATGCTAAAAATGAATTGAGACAATCACTTAGTAGCATAGACCGTTTTGTTGGATCACATTTATTATCAATAGAAGGAGAATTGAAAATGGCCAGATCGTTACAAGTCAACCAGGAGTCTAAATCAAAAAAATATAATGAAACAAAGGACAGTATTGATAATACGATGCATAATAGTAGTGAAATGAACAGTGACAAGGAAATGGAAAACAATATCAACATTAATATAAGTGAAGAAATTAACTGTAATGGTATTGAATCAAACGATAGTACTGATATCATGATACATCATAATGAATCAAATAGGAATATTGATATAAACAGCAGTATAAGTGATGATAGTCAATTAGATTCTTATGGTGACGATGAAGTTAATATTAATTCAGATGAATCTGACATCAATATAATTATGACAGATGAACTAATGGCACAAGAAAATTGGAGAAATAAAGCAGAAAAACCTATTAAGGTGAAAAAAGAGAAAACCAACCGATTCTCAAAATATACAAGTCCGTGTCCAGATATTCGTCGTGTATTAAATACTTCTGGATTACGATCAACTTCATTATCAGTGATACTGAACGGAAATCTTTTACCCGCTGTTAAAGTAAATAAACAAAAAATTCTTATATTTAACACGTGTGCTTTTGATACACTTTTAGTAGCAATATCAGTAAGCTACATTGATAGCAAAAGCTTTATATTGTTTATCGATAACAATCAAACGAATCCGTTCATAAAACTATGCAGAGATGTAGCTCGTCATGGATCCACAAGCTTAACTTATGAACAACGTGATAATTTGCTGGTAGAAAGTGGACTTTTTAACATTTCCCCAGTAGAATCTGCAGCAACCTCAATATTGGACGCAAATGTCAATGTTATTGCTTTTTGTAACAAAGTTCTTTCTGGTATACCTAGCAGTATACAAACATTAGTATGCACTATTTGTAATAAAAAAAAAGTATGTTATAATTCAACAATAATACTTGATGAATTGTCAAAAATGAATGGATGTTTAAAAGAAATAAATACGTATTTAAATAAATATATTGAAAAAAGAGAAAAATGGTGTCCAAACTGCAAACAAATTAGTAGAAATTCCACAAGAGTACTGCAGGAACATATTTTTTTGGAAACAGATTTTTTGAAGGATAACACGAGTAATGAAAATGGAATATCGGACAAGGATATACCATCCCAGTTGTCTGTTGGAGATGAAAAGTAAAAAGCTTTATATTTAAAAGAAAACTATTCATATAATGATAATTTATTATATAATAATTATAAATAATTTGTTATTTAGGTTTTCGCTACAATCAATAATTTCATACATTGGAGATTCAAATGTAAAGAACATGGGCCACTGCATAGCACATTGCAAACGAATTAAAGGCTATTGGGAAATACATAACGATTTGGTAAAAAAAAGAACAATATATAAGAGTCCAGAGACAAAATATGTGAAACCACACTTATTATTTTATATAAAAATTTCAGAATAAGTATGTAAGACTCATAAGGGTTTTCTGATTGTATTAATATTTTCTGACATTAATTTTTAAAAGGGCCAGGAAAGCTCTAACAGGTGTATAATTTTTTTTTCAAAAATATGTTTAACTAATAATTTTATTAATACAAAGAAATATTTACATAAAATAATAATTATTAAGACCAGTTACCATTATTGTGTGGACGTTTGGTAAAATATTTCATTAAAATAAATGGTTACAAATTGAGTATTATAAGTTACTTTAATATTTTAAACGATTTGATTGAATTGGGTACAAACTGTAATTTCTTTATTGAATTACTCTCATGGGAAAATCGATCAGTACTCAAAAATTATGAGGTTACAAATTCTAAAAAGTTGGTTACAAATAGTTGCAAATTGAGTTTATTAAGTTACAAACGGTTTTGGACGATTTTGTTGACTTGGGCGGGGCCAGCCCCTCATTGAGAAATGTACGGTTACTCGGAAGTGACGAGGTTAGAAATTCTAAAAAGTTGGTTACAAATAGTTACAAATTGAGTTTAATAAGTTACAAACTGTTTTGGACGATTTTGTTGACTTGGGGGGCCCAGCCCCTCATTGAGAAATTTACGATTACTCGGAAGTGCCGAGGTTACAAATTCTCAAAAGTTGGTTACAAATAGTTACAAATTAAGTTTTATAAGTTACAAACAGTTTTAGACGATTTCGTTGATTTGGGGGGGCTGCGTGAAGTTAGCCCCTGATTGAGAAATTACCCATTGCTTGAAAAATATGAGGTTAAAAATTCTAAAAACTTGGTTACAAATGGTTACAAATTGAGAAAATAAGGTTACACTAATTTTGGAAAATTTCTTTTAAGTGGGGGGCTAACTTCACACACGTCCACAAATGCCACTCACTCAAGACGACGTTGTACGGCACTTGGAAATCTAAGGTCACATATTATTATTATTATTATTATTATTATAGTACATTGATAAGTGTATTAACGTGTTGAATGAATTTTACTTGTGTACGGAAACGTCAATGATGTTGTCCACAATTCCACAACGCGCACAGCGTTTGACCATTTTGAATAGCCTAAAAGCATCACGAACAGGTTATAGTCTATCTATATTATAATATAATAATATCATAGGTAATAAGTAAATAATAAATATGAAAAACTTGTTGCAATCGAATATAATGATCAGTATCAGTTTGTTATCAGCGGTGATGTGTGAGACTTGTGTTATTTATAGAATTAAAAGGTGCACACCGGCTTACGAGAAATAGAAGAATAGAAATAGAAATAGAAGAATACGAAAAATGACATATCCAGCAAAATAACTCAAAAAGTACCTAGCGACAAAACACGTGTACCTCGATGGTAACGCTCCGAAACGGCTAACGGACTTACACGTCCACTACATACGGCTAATACGAATGCGGATATAAAAAAGTGTTGGGTATTCAAAGTACAAAAAAACACGAAACGCGCCATGATGGCCAGCGGAAAACGTAGGTGGTAAAAATATCATGTTCTTTCGCGATACGCGCTGCCACGAATACATCTGTAGTTTATCTACAGGGTGATCCATTTAAGTGGGTACACTAATTATCTCGAAAAGTATTAACTTTTTTTTATTTTTTATTTTTTTAAACTGTTAGATTTATGCTTTTCTAAAAACTCTATACTATTTTAATTTTTTTCACCCTTATATTTATTGGTGAAACCACTATCAACTTTTGATTTTCAAATGGTAACATATAATAAAAAGATCATGAATTAATAAAACCATTTTTTTATGAATTTTTATTTTTCGATGATTCGTTTGCGAGATACAGCTCCTCAAAGTATTAGTGGTTGAAAGTCGGTACCGCTGGAAAATTTTCATTTGTAAAGCCCAGAAGCTATAACTGATAAATTCGATACCGTTCGACCTAACTACCTTAGGTACCTAACATTAAACATATTGATAATTGTTGTACTTTGAACCTGATTAATTGAATGTACATTACACCTATATGCTAATTTGACCAATGCTACGTTTTGTTGACATTGACTGTCGCACCAGTCCCCTCCATATTACCATAGAACAATAATAATCTTATTACTATTACCGATATTTGGCGATACCTTTATCATTATCTATGACCACGGTATTATAAGATAATAGAATTGATTAAAATATTATATCATATTAATTAATTAATGATAATGGTACAGAAAAATCAATCGGTTGTAATAAACTGAATACTGATAATGAACTTTAAAACTTGTAAAGTAAAATACTAAACCATGTGGCCATGCAGCATAGCACTTTTACTTAAATAGCTTAATATTAAATGTATAATGTAATTAATAATTGAACTATACATATGTATAGTTAGTTTATGTTGTAAACCATTATAAGTAGACAGACAGTTTAAATTTCTTTAATAGCATAATATACCTAACAAAATAGGTAGTTGTTGAATCATTAAGTTTGTCAAAAATATTCCATTGAACTTAAAATTACATTATACCTAATTATAATAATGGGATATCGTAATTTGGGATGTATTTATGTATTTTATTTGATATTTCAATCAAAAATATATGTATTTAAGTTTATATTATGAAGTGTGATGTAAACTTGATAATACATGAATACCAACCACTTGGAAAGCACAACATTTGTACCTACATTAAGTTTATTGGTAAGTTTTCTTAAAATGTATACGTATAAAATAAAATTGTTATGACTAATACCTACATTAATTTGTACATACATTATTATACATTATTATGACGTCTTAACAGTTTTTATTTAAATTTTATTTTCAGTTAAATCAGTTTTGTTCATTCAATTACACCATCAATAAATGTTATTCAAAGTTTGATAACACAAAATTTGTTATACTCTTAAAATTATTGGCTGACACCAATACTGAATACACCATTGCACAAACCTAATACAACTTCATATATTATTCATTTACTTATTACCATCTACTTGGACACAACAAGATGGTTGCCTATCTACATCATATACATACTTAAAAATATAATGTTCTCTGTTCAGAAGTACTTATAAGTTGCATACCTATTCAAATTTTTCATTCTGGCATAGTAATTATTGTTAAGAACTAAGTTGATCTGTATTTACTACAAATATACTTGGCCAAATGATTTGGAGATAGATATTCAAATCACATAATTTTCTATCTTCCATTACATTTTCTAAACGAGAACAATGACAAATAAAAATTTTGTTTCCCATTTACTATTTTAATAGTTGGGAGGGACTACAAAATGAATTAAGTATGTAAACATATTCTTTTACCGTTAAATAATTTGGCTATATTTATCCTTTTTTAATTTATTAGATAGTAAATACTCAACTACTCAAGTTAATTTCAAAGAAGATTAAAAATCAAGTCTGACAATCTGCTTTCCAGAAAAAACTTAATCCCAATAATATAGTAAACTAAAAATATGTTAAATGAAAATAGTACATGCTGTTTTTTTTTTTTTTTAATTTTAACAAATATTATACAATTAAGTTAATTTAGCTAACAACATCAATCAATCATTGATACTTAAATGGGTGGTAAAATGTATGTTTCTAGAAAATTAAAAAAAGAATTATAAATTACTCACCTTCATTATTATGCATGGTATTATTAAATATTTTATTTAAATAACTACTTTGTTATAATATTAGGTAGGTATGTCTTAATCCTAATATTTATGTATCATAAAAATATTTGTATTTAAAATTAAATTGTTTTAGTGTTTTGCAACTGAATAGTTCTTCTGTTTGATTGGTGTTGTTAGCTATTTATTACCACCTACAAAGTTAAAATATTATTAGTCCCACTTTTAAATTTTACTGTATTTTTTTAAGTTAGGGGTTAAGTTGAGTTTGTTTAAATTTTTTTGAATACATGTTATGATCTTAACTCATATTTTGCATTACTGCATAACTGCATATTTTGATCTAACTGTATCATTTAATTTGGAATAGATTTATCATAGTCCTGGGCTTTTAAATATTATGGTAACATTTTTGAAGGGTGTTTATCTAGCAGGTGCTCTATCAAATTTTATAAATGTGCATTTCTTTCATAGTAGTAATTGTAAAGTAGATCAAGTGCGCTTTTACTCCTTTATTATTTACCTATTAATTATTATAGTTATTACTTATTACATACTTCTCAATTTAAGCCAAAAACTATAATGTATTACTATTATGATAATGTAGGTACGCCTGATTTTGATAATAATACAAATATAATTTTCATATAGTAGCACTAATCAATGGCGGTAAATTGTGTATTTTTGAATGAATTCTTATTTGATTTGATAATCCTAAATAAAAAAATATCTTAATAATTAATGGTGAAATATATTTTAAACCTAATAGGTATGTACAATGTACATATTATTATAGGTACCTAAATTTTGTAGTAGATCACTTCTAGTAAATTGGTAGATCACCTGCTATACAAATGCCTTTTATAGTGGTTCATAATAATATAAATATAAAATGGGATGATTTCAGTCACGACATATTGAAATAGCTAAGTTGTTTTTTACATATTACCTTATTGTTTGTAACAATATTCACAATTACTGTATTGTTAAAAAAACATAATATTATATAAATTTAAATTTGAAATATTTAACTATTCATAGTCTTTCACTATTAAATAATTTTAAATTATTTAAGTGGTTCACAATATTATAAATATAAAATAGGGTAATA